GATTCCATTCTGCCCCATAGATTGGGCTCTGCCCCATAGATTTCAGTTCTGCCCCATGGATTCCATTGTGCCCCATAGATTTGAGTTCTGACCCATAGATTTCAGTTCTGCCCCATAGATTGGGCTCTGCCCCATGGATTCCCATTCCCAACCCCATAGATTTTGTTCTGCCCCATAGATTTCAGTTCTGCCCCATGGATTTTATTCTGACCCATAGACTCTAATTTCTGCCCCATAGATTTGGTTCTGCCCCAGAGATTCCCATTTCCAGCCCCATAGATTTTGTTCTGCCCCATAGATTTCAGTTCTGCCCCATGGATTTTATTCTGACCCATAGACTCTAATTTCTGCCCCATAGATTTTATTCTGCCCCATAGATTTCTCCTCTGTGCCCCATAGATTTTATTCTGCCCCACAGATTTCAGTTCTGCCCCATAGATTTTTGTCCTGACTCATAGATTCCATTCTGCCCCATAGATTTTGTTCTGCCCCATAGATTCCATTGTGCCCCATAGATTTCCATTTCTGCCCCATAGAATTTGGTTCTGCCCCATGGATTTTCGCTTTGTGCCCCATAGATTCCAATGGCTCTGCCCCATGGATTCCCATTCCCAGCCCCATAGATTTTGGTCCTGACCCGTGGATTCCATTCTTACCCATAGGTTTTATTCTGCCCCACAGATTTGAGCTCTGCCCCATAGATCCTATTCTGCCCCATGGATTTCAGTTCTGCCCCATAGATTTCTATTTCTGCCCCAGAGATTTGATTTCTGCCCCACAGATTTTATTCTGACCCATAAATTCTCATTTCTGCCCCATGGATTTTGTTCTGCCCCATAGATTTGAGCTCTGCCCCATAGATTTCAATTCTGACCCATAGATTCTCATTTGTGCCCCACAGATTTCCATTTCTGCCCCATAGATTTCATTGTGCCCCATAGATCGAGCTCTGCCCCATAGATTTGAGTTCTGCCCCATAGATTTCAGTTGTGACCCACAGATGTGAGTTCTGCCCCGTGGATTTTATTCTGCCCCATAGATTCTCATTTGTGCCGCATAGATTTTGTTCTGCCCCATAGATTTCAATTTCTGCCCCATAGATTTCAGTTCTGCCCCATGGATTGGGTTCTGCCCCATGGATTTCCTTCTGTGCCCCATAGATTTTGTTCTGACCCATAGGTTTGGGCTCTGCCCCATAGATTTCCTCCTGTGCCCCATAGATCGATTCCTGCCCCATAGATTTCATTCTGCCCCATAGATTCCATTGTGCCCCATAGACTGGGCTCTGCCCTATACATTTTCTTCTGTGCCCCATAGATTTCCATTTCTGCCCCATAGATTTCAGTTCTGCCCCATGGAGTCCATTCTGACCCATAGATTTCAATTTCTGCCCCATAGATTTTGGTCCTGACCCATAGATCCCATTGTGCCCTATAGATTCCTATTTCCAGCCCCATAGATTTTATTCTGCCCCATGGATTGGGTTCTGCCCCATAGATTTCCCCATCTGTGCCCCATAGATTTTGTTCGGCCCCATAGATTTCAGTTCTGCCCCATGGATTTTATTCTGACCCATAGACTCTAATTTCTGCCCCATAGATTTGAGTTCTGCCCCATAGATTTGGTTCTGCCCCAGAGATTCCCATTTCCAGCCCCATAGATTTTATTCTGCCCCATAGATTTTGTTCTGACCCATAGATTTCTCTCTGCCCCATGGATTCCATTGTGCCCCATAGATTAGGGTCCTGACCCATAGATTTCCATTTCTGCCCCATAGATTTCAGTTCTGCCCCATAGACTGGGCTCTGCCCCACAGATTTTCTTCTGTGCCCCATTGATTTCCATTTCTGCCCCATAGATGAGTTGTGCCCCATAGATTTCTCCTCTGTGCCCCATAGATTTTGTTCTGCCCCATAGATTTCAAGTTCTGCCCCATAGATTTCAGTTCTGCCTTCGCGCCCTTTTTTCTCCCCTCACTCCTATTTGCCCTTAACCAAAATGGCGCCCGCTGCTTCTCCATGCCCTAAACCCGCACTGCGCATGCGCAGATGCGGTTTTGCCCCAAAAACTCTTCCCCTCCGCTGCAAAACTTTATTTATTTTTATTCCCGCCTTCCGATTTTACCAAAATCCGCGGTTTTTCCCTCATTTTTAACGCTTTTCTCTCCGTTTTAACCCGACCCGAGTCATGCCCTTAACCAAAATGGCGCCTTCGCGCCCTTTTTTCCCCCCCTCATTCCTTTCTGCCCTCAACCAAAATGGCGCCCGCTGCTTCTCATTGCCCTTAACCCCGCACTGCGCATGTGCAGGTGCGGTTTTGCCCCCTTTGACTTCGCTTTGCCCTTAACCAAAATGGCGCCCGATGCTTCTCATTGCCCTTAACCGCGCTCTGAACATGCGCAGGTGTGATTTTGCCCCAAAACTCTTCCCCTCCGCTCCAAAAATTTATTTATTTTTAATTCCCGCCTTCCGATTTTACCAAAATCCGCGTTTTTCTCCTCATTTTTTTAACGCTTTTTTCCCTCCGTTCCGACCCACCCAGAGTCATGCCCTCAACCAAGATGGCGCCCGTTGCTTCTCATTGCCCTTAACCCGCATTGCGCATGGGAAGATGAGGTTTTGCCCCCAAAAATTGTCCCCCTCCGCTTCAAAACTTTATTTATTTTAAGTCCCGCCTTCCAATTTTCCCAAATTCTGCGTTTTTTTCTTCATTTTTTATTTCTTTTCTCTCCATTCTGACCCGTCCCGAGTCTTGCCCTCAACCAAAATGGCGCCTTCGCGCCCTTTTCGCCCCTCACTCCTCTTTGCCCTCAACCAAAATGGCGCCCGTTGCTTCTCATTGCCCTTAACCGCTTACTGCGCATGCACAACGGCGGTTTTTCCTCCAAAATTCTTCCCCGCCGTTTAAAAAGTTTATTTCTTTTTAATTCCCGCCTTCCAATTTTACCAAAATCCGCGTTTTTCTCCTCATTTTTTTTACCACTTTTCTCTCCGTTCTGACCCGACCCGAGTCATGCCCTCAACCAAAATGGCGCCCGTTGCTTCTCCGTGCCCTTAATCGCGCACTGCGCATGCACAACGGCGGTTTTGCCTCCAAAACTCTTCCCCGCCGATTTAAAATTTTATTTCTTTTAATTCCCGCCTTCCGATTTTACCAAAATCCGCGTTTTTCTTCTCATTTTTTGCCGCTTTTCTCTCCATTCTGACCCGACCCGAGTCATGCCCTCAACCAAAATGGCGCCTTCGCGCCCTTTTCGCCCCTCACTCCTCTTTGCCCTTAACCAAAATGGCGCCCGTTGCTTCACGGTGCCCTTAACTCCGCATTGCGCATGCGCAGATGCGCTTTTGCCCCCCCCAAACTCTTCCTTGCCGCTCCAAAACTTTATTTATTTTAAACCTGCCTTCCGATTTTACCAAAATCCGCGTTTTTCTCCTCATTTTTTTATCGCTTTTCCCCCTCCGTTCCGACCCGCCCCGAGTCATGCCCTCAACCAAAATGGCGCCTTCGCGCCCTTTCTTCCCCCTCACTCCTCTTTGCCCTCAACCAAAATGGCGCCCGTTGCTTCTCATTGCCCTTAACAGAGCACTGCGCATTCGCAAATGCGGTTTCGCCCTAAAAATTCTTCCCCTAGGCTCCAAAACTTTATTTTTTTTCATTCCCGCCTTCCGATTTTACCAAAATCCGTGGTTTTTTCCTCATTTTTTACCGCTTTTCTCTCCGTTCCGACCCGACCCGAGTCATGCCCTCAACCAAAATGGCGCCCGTTGCTTCTCCGTGCCCTTAATCGCGCACTGCGTATGCATAACGGCGGTTTTGCCCTCAAAATTCTTCACCGCCGATTTAAAATTTTATTCTTTTTAATTCCCGCCTTCTAATTTTACCAAATTCTGCGGTTTCTTCCTCATTTTTAATTTCTTTTCTCTCCATTCTGACCCTTCCCGATTCATGCCCTCAACCAAAATGGCGCCTTCGCGCCCTTTTTCCTCCCCTCACTCCTCTTTGCCCTTAACAAAGATGGCGCCCGCTGCTTCTCATTGCCCTTCGTTCCTCATTGCGCATGCGCAGTGGCGCTTCTCTCCCATTCATTTCTATTTGCCCTCAACAAAGATGGCGCCCGCGCGGCTTCACTTCCCGCCGCCATTTTGCCGCCCCCCCCTCAGCCTCTCCCGCTCCCAAAATGGCGCTGCTCAGCGTCCTCCGCTCGGATCTTCCAAAATCCTTTTTAGGGCTCCCAAAAACTTTTCCCGACGATTCCGAGGAATTTTCCCAAATCCTTCGGGACCCCCCGGGACCTCCGCGGTTTTTGGCGGCTCCTCCGTGGGGTTTTGAAGCGGCTCCGGATGGTCCCGGTTTGGCGATGCTTCACGGCACCACAACTTTGGCTTTTAAGGTGAGGAAAAAGGGGAAAAACGCCCTAAAATTTAATTTTTTGGAGCGTTAAATTGTGTTTGGGAGAGTCGGAGTGGCGTTTGCGTGGGAAATTTCCAAAATTTC